GTTCGTTCGTTTCGCCACTCGCTAACTGTTGGCGAATCGATGACGGCTGATGACTGCTACTTGTAAAAAATAACCAGAAAGCATATCCACTTGAAATGGAATGTGTGAAGACGGTCTGAGAGCTGCCACCTCAAAATAAAAGTATAAGTTTTCTTCCATCCGGAACCGCAATTTCTGTACAAGCTGGCAACAATTGGATGCTATTTACGAACACCATTAACAAAACAGCATTGATAAAGCTGATTACATATAGCATAAGAACGTCTGGCCTCATTTCTTCATGCCAACGGATCACCAAAAGACGGAGAGGGAAACAACAATGGAGAGCACCACAAAANCCCAAGACAATACAATACAATAAAAGCATAATTATTTGCACACATACCAAATACAGCGCAATGTTCTTTAATTAAATTATGAAAGTAGTGACGCGTCGTGGGTAAAAATGTTGTATATGATAGCAAATGGGGTAGGTGCGATTGGTTTTTGGTGTTACTCATTTAGGTACGATGGCTGTGCCGGCAAAATATACTCGTATTTCATCGATAATTGCAGCAGTAAACCAAGATACGAATTTCGTGCAAGCAGAAGTATTTCACGCAGTTCTGCTTAACTTATCAGGTGTTTATTTACTACATATATATACATAATTTCAAAACCTATTTACTGTATTTTGTTTAAATCATTTAGATTTCCGCAAAATTGAATAGCTGAAGTCTACGTAATCGTTAGTGTATGCATATCGAACTATATTGAAAATAATATCAATATTGCTTAAAAAGCAGATGTAAGTAATGGCATCACTGCGCCTGATTAATAGGTATGTACATGCGTTATTGCAACAAAAATATATTTTTAAAGAGCCTTTATATTTTAGATTAGTATTGCGTGGATTCATATCATTAACACTACTGCTAGCCTTCTTCAACGAATTTATTATATACTACATCAGTCAGACTGCTTGGCAACAAATTGATTGTGAATATGGTAAATGTATAGTTTTACAAATATTAGCGCGCTATGCCAGCTAGTGTATATCGTTACCTTAATAAGGCTTGATAACAAAAAGATTAGAAAGGGGCTTTATTAAGGTAACGATATGTGCATATGTATATTAGATGCCTTATTTTGATAAAGTATTTCAGATCATCCTTCCGACAGCAGATTATGAAAATAGGAAGCTAAGAACGTAACAAAAAGAAAAAAAATCATTATCGCAAAAACTGGATGAGCTACTCCGAAATATGTGATTTATAAGAGTGTTTTGCGGTAGGTTTAGGTCCTCATATTAAAAAACATTCATCTTGCACAAGAAAGAAAAAAATATATCCAACTCCATGACAAATATGCCGCTAAAGCGAATGGCGTACTTAGTTATTGCAAACAACCAACCAGAAACTTGCACACGCGGCCTAAAATGACTATGGTATTAGTTTTCATGAATTTTTAAATTTATTTCTTAGGGGTTTCCAGATAGTAATTTTTCTAAAATTAAAATTTTAGATTGTAGCTAATTTCACGTAGTTTTTAAAACAGCTAACAGATTTAGAATTGATTTATATTTGCGCTAGTAAACCAGGTTTAAGTAAAGCCACGTTGAGTACAATCAGGTCTGACATACTTTAAAATTTGTTGAAGTGTTTGCAGTAGTGGTTATTTTTTTCATTTTGTTAAGTTCTAAGCGTACTATTTTCATATTCTGCTGCCCGGGGGAGGATCTGAAATACTTTGTATGGAGAAAATAAGGCATCTAATGTTTATTTATTTGTCTGTATATGTTCTTATTATTTGAACAGACAACTGTACGCGTATATTATTTGTGGCTGATCCACAGCTGATTGGCAATTCTTACGAAAAAGGCTTTTGGAGCCCGATATCCCGTTATGATGCAGATAGGTAAGCAGAAACTTAAAGTTCTAAACCTTATCGAGCCTTATAGAAATTAAGCCAGCACAACACAGATCGCGTTAAATCCCGAATTTTAATTTTTCAGTCAAAAATTGTGAAACAAAATTTAATTAACCGGATAGTTGTGTTTCAGTTTTTCGTATCGAATAATAAAAATGGTTCTTTATGTCGTCATATTTGTTACAGATATTTGCGCAAGACTTTCGAGCGATCGCTACACTTCACTCAGCCACATATCATTTGTTTTTTGGGTGATCTGTTGGACGAGGGTAGTATTGCCACACAGCAAGACTTCGATGCCTATGTAAGACGTTTTCATCGCATTTTTAACACACACACAGATGTAAAAGTGAGTTCTTATTTGAAGTTTTAGAAATTAAACCTCAACAAATGTAAATATGTATGTATATAGTTTAAATTAATATCTCCATATGCGCAGCGCATTCATGTGCCGGGGGATAATGACATTGGCGGCGAAGATGGTGAATATATATCAAATTCGAACGTGCATCGTTTCGAAGAAGCTTTTCAAAGTGAGGATCTCTTCGATTACGAAAATATGTTACGTTTCTTCAAAATCAACCGAATGATGCTCGACTTTACGAATCCAGATCGTGAGCACAACAAACAACGGCTGCGCGTTGGAATATCCCATGCTCCAATTCTTATTGGAGGTGGGCCACTTTTGCGTTCAGTGCTCAGCGAATTAGACCCACATGTCATATTTTCTGGACACTGGCATGAATCCAGGATTTTCATACATCCATCGACTCACGTAGTGAATTTCTATGAGTCGACGGTACGACACTTTGATTTGCGTGGCCTAAAAGAAAGAGAGCATCAGTACTTGGAGATTATGGTGCCAACAGCTTCGTATCGCATGGGCAAAACGAAGATGGGACTAGGATATGCTGTGTTAGGTAACTTAATAACGGTTTGCAGACGATTTTTTAATAATGAAAATTTAATTGTAGAAAATTACCAACTTAGATACACAGTTCTCTGGCAGCCCAGCCGTTTTATTTACCTATTTCTATACTTGTTTTGGCTAATTCTATCATTGTGTGGCTTTATTGTGTTTCGAATGATGACACGATGTCCTTTTCGTGTAGCCAAACGTCAATCGGCATACAATCGTATTTTAAGCGTAACTCAGTTTTAGAGATTTTGAAGACTTTGAAAAAAAATATATATATGTATATACAAAGACCAATAAGCAACTGATATATATTAGATAGCAAAATAGTAAAAAAAAAACGCGCAAATGCTTCGTAACGCGCAAATGAGGTAACCATGTAAACCTCGTAAACTTACTTAATTTTGTATAGAAAATATGGTTATTTACGAGGTTTACGAGGTTACGAGGCATTTACGCGTTTCCATGAATACCCATAATATTAGATAGCAAAATAGTAAAAAACGCGCAAATGCCTCGTAACGCGCAAATGAGGTAACCATGTAAACCTCGTAAACTTACTTAATTTTGTATAGAAAATAGGGTTATTTTCGACGTTTTCGCGGTTACGAGGCATTTACGCGTTTCTATGAATACCTATAATATTTATATATATTTCGTAGTTTAAAGTACAGAACCGCGTATCATCATTCTGCAAAACTGCGTAACTGACATTTGCTGCCAAAAATTGGATTTGCTCACACAAGTTCTTGGGTCAATCCTTATCCATTCGACCTGAAATATACTTGCCAGAAATGCGATTGCGTTATAAAAAAAAGAGAACCATTTTGAAATATGCTGAAATATTGAATATTACTCTCTAGAAAATAAAATTATGGAGCCTCACATACGCGGTTTTGCATTTTGTTGATACGCGATTTTATTCTTTAAACGACAATATATATTTATTTAAAATACTTAATACTAAACCAATCATCAGTTAAAATTATTAAAAAAGTTAGTTAATTAACTAAAATTAAAATTAAAACTTACTGCTAAACATTAGAAATTAAAAGTTGTCGTTTTTATCAATTTGTAAAAGTGTAAAATACGTAAATGTATGTACATGAACAAGAAAACTTTCTCATGAATACTCATCATGAATCATTGGTCTTGAAGGGAATGTACTAAGAAAATATATGAGCAAATTAAAAAGTTGATACAACTTATAGTCGAAAAGTAAAGTTTTTGTATAGATTTCGTATTGAAGGAAAATTTCATTTCCCAACACTGGCCTCTCAAACTGCCAGCTTTGGTTGATTACACATTGCATCTGTTACTTTTCCTTATCGCGTGCTTTTATTTAGAGAATTTTGGCGATGGAAATTTAGCGTAGCGATTGTCAGAATTCCACTGCTGGAATCCGGCTGCAGATTATGATGCCTGCTTGACCTTGTTAATTTTAACTTCTCGTATGGGGTTTGGAATTTTATTAGCTTGAATATAAATATACAATTTCTTTCCATGAAAAGATGTGGTAATATCTTCTTAGGCCATAGACGTAACGCGTAACATTATTAAACGCAACTTCTATTTTATGGGACGAAATGGAATCAAGTTTGCTATAAACAAGCTCAGAGTACGTTATTTGCGGCACAATGAGTTGAATAAATAACTTTATTCTTGTCTCCAAAGGAGTAAATGACAACGAAGGCACTATTACCAACAAACAGTTCTGGAATATCTTCCACATGTACTACACTATTACTAATTGGCAACACATATGACTTGGTAGCATTTAGACAAAGACAATTATCACGAGCCCACTGCGAAATTGCTGACAGGTCACTATTAATTTTGAAACACAAATCTTTCACAAGACCAACCCGACTGGTTTAGTGACAAAATTGTTAGTAAAGTTTTGAGCTGGAGGACTATTTCTGATTTGCTCCCACAAGCTCTTGGCACAATCCTTATCAATTTGTCCTGAAATATAGTAGCCAGAAATGTGATTGATTTATAAAAAAGAGAACCGTTTTTAAATATAAGTGTTTTTACATTCCGGAAAATAATTTATGCAACCTCATTGCATTATCTTGATATGCGGTTTTGCATTTTGTTGATACGCGGTTTTGTACTTTAAACTACGATTTGTATGTACATTCATAAATATGTATGCACATTTGTCAAACGTTAATCAAAAATTCGTTCATCTATAAATTAAATTAAANATTGATTTATAAAAAAGAGAACCGTTTTTAAATATAAGTGTTTTTACATTCCGGAAAATAATTTATGCAACCTCATTGCATTATCTTGATATGCGGTTTTGCATTTTGTTGATACGCGGTTTTGTACTTTAAACTACGATTTGTATGTACATTCATAAATATGTATGCACATTTGTCAAACGTTAATCAAAAATTCGTTCATCTATAAATTAAATTAAAAATGTGTGTACACTTGTGATCAGCTAATTAAGCCAGCAACATTTTTTTTTGCTATTTTTCTTTTGTTCATTTAATGTTTATTATTTTTCCATAAAAGTCTAGCTCATTATTTAAAAAACACCACATAAATCCAGATTTCAAACTTTGTGCAAAAATTATGAAAAATCTTCAAAGTTTCAGCTAGATTTTCAACTTTTTATTCAGATTTTTTAGAGTATGCAGTTTAATAGCCCATTAAATTCTAGGGTAGTTAAGTGCAAGTTTTAAGTTGCTAAAAAATCGTGTTGATTTGTAATAATTTTTTTTCTGATTTCATGACGCATTTTTTTCATACAAAAAAAAATTCGAATTTATTTCTACAAAATCTGAATAAAAAGTTGAAAATTTAGCTGAATTTGGAATCTGAATTTATATGGTTTTTGTTATATAATGAGCTATACTTTTGTGGGAAAATAATAAACATTAAATAAACGAAAGCAAAATAGCCAAAATTTATCAAAATGTTGCTGACTTAATTAGCTGATCACAAGTGTATGTAATTAAATGTATGTTCATAAGTATGTTTAAGCGACACTCACCTTTAAACCCAAAACAGTTGAATGCGTAATACATTTTTCGTTTCAAAACTGCAGTTGGCACATACAGACACTTTGTTATACGCATCATGATGTCAGTGCAAAAGGCGAATTAAGCACAACACATCACTAATGCTTTTTGCAAACAGGAAACATGAAAAAACACAAACAACAAAACTTCCAAGCTTTCACAGGCGAAATATAGGAGCTTTTGCAGCATTTGCCGCCAAATGGCGCGCTGCTACTGCGGCGCAAGCCTTGCAACAACAAAGCACATAATGACTGCTGCCATTTTTTCATACCATGCACTTGGCAGAGATTTGCCAAATATTTTCAAATACTCTTCTTTCACTCATTTTAATATTTTACACTTTCAATTTCACTTTACACACATGCATTAGCATATAAGCTATTGAAATAACATTAATTTAAATAAATTTCACTAATTTTTACCACTTTTTCAATGATTTAAACCGGTCGCGCACAGAGTCAAATTTTTCGTAACGACGCAAGAGCTCTCAAATTATGACTGAGGTAGTTCCGGCTCCTTCGCTCGGCCGGAAAAAGCTTGCAACGGTATGTGTCATTGGAAGTGCATACATAGATACGAGTACATGTACACCTGTGCATGTGATTTTGTGTGGGAGGCAGAATGCGTAAATTGCCTATTATGAATTATGATAGATCAAAAGATTGGAAGGACGCTCATTTGACTTCGCGTTGGTATGTGCATACCTACAGTATCAGTCATATCTATAGCACGCCATTTCATAGTGATATTGTGTGCCACTTATGTTTATTTATTAATTTTTAAGAATTTTCAATCAAAATATAGTTCATTCTCAGACAAACCCGATACAAGCCCAAGCTTAATAATTTGTAGAAAGCTACAAAAAAGTGCAACAAATTTTCAAATTCNTGTGCCACTTATGTTTATTTATTAATTTTTAAGAATTTTCAATCAAAATATAGTTCATTCTCAGACAAACCCGATACAAGNTCAAAAGATTGGAAGGACGCTCATTTGACTTCGCGTTGGTATGTGCATACCTACAGTATCAGTCATATCTATAGCACGCCATTTCATAGTGATATTGTGTGCCACTTATG